CTAGGTACTGGAGATCAAACTCTGGTCCTTGCGTTTTGGTACCAATTTTCTATATTAGTCACTTTCTCCTCACGGGGACAAAATACCTGACTCCTATAACTTAAAGAAGAAGCTTATGGTTTCAGAGGGTTTGATCCATGGTTGGCTGGCTCCAAGTCAGAAATGGCATGGTAGAGGAACTTGGTGAAGGAAGGCTGCTCAACCCAAAGCAGCCAGGAATCAGAGAGAGAAGGGAGGACCTGGACAAAAGAATACATCCTTCCAGGTCATGCTCCTTGTGACCAACCTCTTCCAAATAGGCCCCAACTCTAGGTAGCACAGTTGGCCATGAATGGACTAATCAATGGACTAATCCACCAATGTCTATAGCACCCCCACAAACTAATCACTCTCCAAAAGCCCCACCTCTGAACATATGAGAATCTGGGGGAAATTTTTTAGATGTAAATCATAATACTACTTTATTATTTTAACAACCAATGCTTTACTACTTCTATTTAGAGTAAAATGAACATATTCGATGCAATACTTATGCTCACAATGGGAATCTTGTAGTACTTGCTGTACACTTCCTCTTCCTTAGGCCATCGGCCCAGCAGGTACCACCTTTTGCACCACATGGTGCTATTTTCTATTTTCTTCTGTTTTGCCATTTAATATGCTAAAGAATCATGACCTGAAATTTAGAATGGATCATGAAGGCAGGTAGAAGAGGAGTTTCTTGCTCCCAGTTACACTGCTCCAGCTGAACTGTTGGCCCAGACTCCTGCCTTCCCTGTTTGACAGAGACCACACTTCCCTCTGTGGCCTGGCTTTTTTCCTTTGCTCAGCCATTTCCATTCTGCCTGTGGTAGTGACCTGGCTTGACTCTGTCATCCCAGCAGCTCTCCTCTTTCTCTCTTGCCCTGCTTACCAGGACACTGGAAGGCCAGCCACCATGGGCCTGTGCCCTTCCTAGAACCCCTCTCCCTCCACCCTTCTTTCTCCTTGGCCTGCTGCACAAGCACCTCTTTTATCAGTGGTTTCCATGCTTACCTAGACACTCAAAAGCCTCCAATATGTGTTCATTCAGCTTTCCTTCAGGTGTCTCAAAAGAGAAGATATGGTGTACTCAGCTTCCATCCATGGCTTTGGGTAGCCAGAGTCTCCTGTTGCTGACTAGAGTATTTATAAGCCAAATATGCCTGTTTGAGATCTTCATGTGAATGATGGTTCTTTGGGTCACCTCATCACTCAGACCAGAACCCAGCTAGCCACCAAGCCTACAGCCTGCCTTCTGGTGTGGTTCTTTCCTACCCTTCTCACCCACATGTCCTGGGGCAGGCCTTGACATCCCTCCCAGCTGCCTACTCTCGAATCCACCAACCCCATGTGTCTTAATTGGGTCTACATGTTCCTCCAAGGCCTCATGCAGTCATAAGTGGCTTTTTCAGAGGTGACTCAGTCCAGAGTGTGTGATTCTGGAATGAAAGGCATGAGATTACTAAATTAGTACATTGATTGGTTTGGCTCCACCCTAATTCCAGTAGTCTACATAAGATAAAAGGGGCAAAAAGACACTGTTAAGGTTCCCTTGTTGCTTTTCTTGACATGTGGATGCCATGAACTGTTTCTCCTTTGTGACGCCACTTTTCCATTTGTCACCCTGCTTTGGAGCCACCTGATTATGGACTGAAATGTTTACAAACTGTGAGCTAAATAAACCTTTTCCTCCTTTAACTTCAGATATTGGGTATTTTGTCTCCTCAACAAGAGAAAAGTAACTAACACAGAATTTGGTACCAGGAGTGGGGCTGTTGCTATGCTATGACCTGGACATGTGGCTCAAGAGCCCTTGGAACTGGCTTGTGGGAAGTAGAAAAGTTAGTAAAGATTCAGAGAAGCCAGATGAAAAAGTAGAGCTGGAATACTTCAGGTTCACTGTATGGGAGATTCTGGTCAGAGCTCAAAAGACCAGAAAGCTAATAAAGACCAGGCTCAGGAGATTTCTGCTTGGAAAAAGGACTGTGCTGGCTGCTGGACTACAGATGATGTGTGTTATGCCTTGTTAGAAAGTTTGTCTGCATTTTGCTCCTATCCAGAGACTTTGCCTGAGACTGAGAAAACTTATTATAGTCAATGACAAATTGCTAAGAATGATGGGATAAAGGTGTTCAAAGCAAGGGGAAATATTTTGAGTATCTGGAGGGGGATTAATGATGATATGTCTTTTACTACAATAATTTTTTAAATTAAAAATTGTATTTTTATTACACATTGTTGATCAAACATTTATGGCAATTTCTGTCAAATAAAAACATTAAGGTATGTCCTCATCCACCTTATTTACTGGATCTGGAATCCATGTAAGTTCTGGTTCTTTTCCAAAATCAAATGAAATATAAAAAGTGAATATTTTGAATCAATTCAGGACATCAAGGCAAGACAGGGTGATAACACATATGAAGGCTTCTAAAAGTGCTTCAGAAAGTGGCAAGAACCATGGGATAAGTATGTTTGAAGTGAGGGGGAGTATTTTGAAGGGAATTGATGGCAACATGTCTTTTACTACAATAAAAATTTTAAAAAGTAAATAGTCACCGTATATATTGTTTTGTTTTGTTTTGTTTTTTGTCTTTTGAGACAGGGTTTCACTATGAAGTTCAGACTGGCCTTTAACTCACTATGTAGCCCAGGATGGCCTCAAACTGGTAACAGTCCTCCTGCTTCAGCCTACTGAATGCTGGTATTACAGCTGTGTGTCATCATGCCTGGCATATAAATATATTTTTGATCACACCTCATATTTATTTATCGAGATCTTGCCTATTTCTGTTGTCCATCCTTCATTCCTGAACTTCTAGGTTTCCTTAGGCAATATTTTCTTTTGGCCTAAAGAACTTCCTCTAGCCTTTCTTTTAGAGCAGGACCACCTACGGAAGACAGATTCTCTTCATTTTATCTGAGGAAGTCTTCAGTTCACCTTCATTCCTGGAAGGTGTATTTGCTGGAGTTCTGGACTGACACATCTTTTCCTCCAGCCTTTGAGGTGTGATTCCACTTCCTCCTCTGTGTGTTTAGCTCCAAGGAGAAATCTGCAGTCAGACAGGTTGTTCTTCCTCTGTGTGAAATGTGGCATCCTGCTCTGACTGCTTTCAACATTTTTAAAATATTTGTTTTTCAGCAGTTTGATTAAGATATTTCTTTCTTTCTTTTTTCTTTTCTTTTCTTTTTTTTTTTAATTGTACCAGGGATCGAACTTGGGTCCCTGCACTTGCAAGGCAGATAGTGTCACCACTGAGCTAAATCCCCGGCCTGATTAAGATATTTCTGTTCCTGGATTTCTTTTATTCTGTCATATTTAGGGCTGCCCATCTTCTTGAACTAGAAAAATTGTTTTTCACTAAATTTGGGGAAATTCTAGTCATTATTTCTTTAAATTTCTTACCTTCAGGGGATAAAATAACATACTTAATTGTACCTTTTTTTTAAAACAATTGATTATCAATTTATTAAAGGAGTTGCCTTAGGCATCTGTGATGATGACTTCAACTTCCACTCCTGGTTCAATACTGATGGAAGTAATCTGCTTAATAATCTCAGAAGGATGGTGCAAATCAGTCAGCTGCTTATGGATTCTCACTGAAATGATCCCAGGTCTTAGTACCTTTACCACAGGCATTTTTCTCGTAGTGATTCTCAAGGTCTTGGTAGGCATGTGAACAGGTCCTTTCACTTTGAGATTCTTTTCCTTTGCAACTCTGATTGAGTCGGCACACCCCTTCTCCAGGGATTTCACATTGTGACTGGTGGGGATAATCCTAACTCGGTGAATGGCCACCTCAGGTTCCATGGGGGTCTTTTCAGTATCTTTAAAAGCCACGATGGTGGTGCAGCTTCCTGACTCACTTGTTCCTCAGCAAGAGCAAACAGCAGTGAGTCAGAACAGGAGTGAGTCGGACGGAGCCGATGACCGCTGCACCCCAGCCACCTCTTCCTCAGAAAGCTGTACTTTTGATATTATCCTCCAGGTGTCTGAAGCTCTGTTCAGTTTTTTCCAATATTTTCCCCTCCTTTTGATTGGGTAGTTTCTCTTGATCTACCCTCAAGTTCACTGGCTCTTTTTTCTGTCATCTCTGTTACCAGGCTTATCCTGTGACTATTTCGGTAGCTTTGAAAGTATCATATGATTCTAAGGTACAGAAGGGTTAAGAGCTGCTGACTTAACACCTCCAGCCTTCAGTGTCCTCACCTTAAAAAATAAGGAGAAACTGCCTAGTTTGCCACCTCCTGGACCTGTTAGGGGACCTATAGAACAACATCTCTAAGACAGCATGAGAGCAGAATTCACCAGATCTAGTCAGGAAGTCAAGACCCACTAGCTCTCAACGAGTTCCATTACCGGACAGGTGAGGTGTCATGTTCACCACCTATGATCAGGGGATATGACAGTAGAAATTCTGAGGATGTGAGCAATGGAAATAGGACAGAGCATGGCTGTTTCTCATTACCTGACGCTGTAAAAATGCAGAGCAAAGAGGCTCTAAAAACAGCCCTGAAGGTTTCGTAGGGAATGCAGCCACATCCTCTGCCAGCCACAGGGAGACACCGGGCACCAGGAGCAGGGCAGAGGCCAATAATCTCATCTTAAAACACAACCTTAAACTAAAGTCAATGCACACATTTCATAGAGGATCACCTTTATCATATCACATAGGAAATTGTAAGTTAACAACCTCAAGATTTGGGCTGCCTAGAGAGTTACTGTATGTAATTGCAGTGAGGATCGCATGGCTAGAGTCAGAGCTGCTCTCGAATTTACTGATTGTACTTAGTGGCATCCCCAGCAAATTATGTTTCGATATTAGGCAGTTGCATTAAATGTTAATATGTGTATGCATGACTCATTGACATTACTTATTTTATGTTTAGTATAATATGCATTTTAATACTTTTACTGGTATGGATTAATTTAAGAGTAGATATTTCAACTAAAGCTAGTCTCTTCTTAATAATAACAGAATATCCAAGGTATCTCCAAGCAACCAATTCAAATTACTACACCTCAACTATTTAAAGGTAACTCATTTCTTTCTACTTTGTTAAAATCTTAGGTCACATCTTTTTAAAACCTAGAAGTGTTTATAACTGCCTTTTCTCTGCAACTGCTTCACTTTCCTGAAGTTATTCTCATTATTTGCATGACTAGGATTTAAATATACATTGAAAAAATAAAAACAGCTGAAGTGATATGGTACATCCCTTCCAGGAGTTTACAAGTTAAAATAGACAATAATTATACCAGAGAAGTAGATCCCCTCCTACCACCTCTCCCCCACCAACTTCCCAATAAAGAAAAATAAATATACAATAGCACTAGCTTTTATTAAAGTCTGAAAACTGCTGGAAGTGTTTATAAAAGCACACCAAAATTCTCCTTTCTTTTGAGCTATCCTACTATACTCCTGATAGTCACATTTTTAAAGGAGAAAATTGAAAACTTCATATCTTACAAAGCAGTGACCTGTCACTCACTCCCCATAACCATCTGCATTGGGTCCAGTGCTGCCCTGTCCTATGAGGCTGGGTGGGAGGACACAGCAGCAGCCCAAGGCACCATGAATGGCCTTTTCTAACCACACATTGTCACCCTCAAACAGCCCAGGGAGGTGGCCACAAGCCACTCTGTCTCCTACTGCCCCTTCACAACGTTGCCAGGGGAAGATCTTAGTTGCACACCCCTGCATAGAGCTAATCAAGGCTTTTACGGGAGTATGCAGGTGTTAATATTTACCTTTTTCCTTTCTTCGTCAAGATTTCTAGACAGAACTGAAATTTTTAAGAGCAGAAATTTTTCATTAGATTTCAATAATATTATTTTTAAATTACATCAATAGAAATCACAAAAAAATCTAGACTTGACTTTGGATGACATTAAAATAACTGTATTGAGGAATAGCTGCAAGCCAGCTCATGACCACACTTACCACATGCTCTTGAAATGACCATCCAGGTAAAGAAGACAAGACTCTCACCATCTCCCCAAGAGCCCTGTTTGTCTCCAACAAAGGCCACACTTTCCTGGCAGCAGGTAAGTACAAGCGGCAGAAGAGGGATGCCTCAGTCCCTGTGGTTCACTTCTCTGCCTTTTCATGCAACTCAAATATTTACAAATAGAATAATTCAAAGGTACTTATAGAACTCATTCTCTCAAGTAAATCCTAAGGCAAATATTTATATGAAACAAGCTTTCTTATTCACAGTACATTATAACAGGTCTTTGGCTCCAGGGTCCCCTCACTTTGCCATATTTAGATCGCACACACCCCTGCCTGGCCCCCACCTTTTTTTTTTGAGACAGGGTCTCACTATGTAGTTGAGACTGACCTGGAACTCACTAAGTAGCCCAGGCTGGTCTCGAACTCACAGTGATCCTTCTGCCTCAGCCTCCTGAGTGCTGGGATTACAGGTGTGTGCCACCACGCCCGGCCATGCCTGGCCCATTTGGTCTGTCCCTCTCCTCTTTGGCCCTCATCACTGTTCTTTCCCCTTGCTCACTCAGTTATTTGGCCTTAGCAAATAATTTATTCAAATTCTCTGCCTCACCCTTCTAGAATTTAGGTTCCATGAGGAAGGAGAATTTTGCCTTTTATTCAATCATGCATCCCATGCACAGAGCCTGGCACCTAGAATTCCTAAAACTGTGATGTGTATGTAGAGTGAAAGAATGAACAAATCAGTTAACACCACCCACACAGGAGGTGTTTGTTGATCGGGAGGCAAAAGAGATCTTTGGACCTGTGAATGGCCAGTGCCTGAGGCTAGAGGAGCCAGCACCCAGGAAGGGAAGGTGCCTGAGGGTGGGGTGGGGGAGAGCAACTGAGGGGCACCAGTGAGTTGGGCATTAACACCGAGCTGTCTAACAGACTTTTCACAGATTGAATTGCGCATTCTTGCACATTTATCCGGGGATCCAGAACTTCTGAAGTTATTCCAGGAATCTGGAAGAGATGATGTATTTTCTACCCTGACTTCACAGTGGTAAGATAACAAGCCACAATATTGTCAGATCTGCAGGAATGCTATCATGATGTTACAAGTCTGAAGTTATTCCCAGGCTATTTTCATAAGGAAGAAATTAAATTTTTCTCTAGTTAAACATTTTGAAGAGAAAGGCAGATAGTTAGGATGCCAAGAGTTTCCTAATCACAAGAGGACTGGTAGCTCTTCACCACTTACAAGGAGTAGAATGGGAATGCTGGGAAAGTGACAAGTGCGAGTCACTCAGGAACAGGGAGTCCAGGTGCTGGTCCTATGGGCCACCGGCCCCATAAGGAGGGTGAAGATCCTCTCTCTGTGTCCCTTCGCTCAGTCAGTGCTGGACTGTAGGTGGCAATCCCTGTCCGAGTGGTGCCTCTCCAGAGGCAGTTGGCCTCGGGTGCAGCTCTGCCACAGGAGGCCTGGCTTTCTTTTTGGCATTCCTATGGCTTTTCCCCTCCTGGTGCTCACCTGGGCCAGGTAGCCACTACCCACATACTCAGGATTTGCTGTGAGGAAGAGGAGGGCAAGGGCTCAGCTGTCGGAAAGTCACTAGCCTCCCTGGGTGGCTGCAGGTGCCACCATTGGGCCTCTCCCTCAGCTGCTCCCTGTGGCCCTTCTCCCTCCTCCCCTCATCTGTCACCTGATCACCCTCTGCCATCAGTGGAGGTGCCACTTTCAGGAAGGCTATCCTTGCCCCACACAGAGCCCAGCACTTGCTCCTCACACACTTGTGTCTGTCATTGTCACTGCTTTCCTAAAGGCTTGTGAGCTCTGTGAGAGCAAGACTGCACCCCCGTGTCCAGAGCAGGTGCTGGATGCTCTCTAGCCTTGTTGCTCCCTACTCTCTGGGCCTCCGTGGCTACTCACCAACACCCCAGTTACCCACCTCACCCAGCTTGCTCCTGAACCTTGGGCTCAGAAAGCTCTTTCCCTGATCCCATCCACACCTGCTTATGGACATGTCCTCAGGGTCCCTCCCAGACCCAGTCCTGACTTTCCCCAGTGCTACTGCCCCTGTCTGATCACCGTCTGTGCCCTGCAGTGCCCAATGAGCCTGGGGCTCACAGAGGATTTGTCGAATACAAGTGGATACAGCAGAGTTCAAACTTCCCTGTGCTCACCAAAAAACCACCACAAGACTCATTTGAATAGTAAAATTCAGGGACTATTTAAAATATTGTAAAATAACAGTGAGTGCTTTACTATACTTATACTCTAAGCTGAACTTAAGAGTGAATAGTTGTGTAAGTTGTGTTTGATGGTGACAACAGGGGAAGTGGCAGAAGCAATGAATGATGGGTGTTCGCCTGTCAGAAGACAGGGTGCTAGACATCCTCGGTGAGGTCACGGTGTGCTACCCAGTCCTCTGAGGAGCCAGGTCTGGCTCTCAAGCACCAACGCAGAGTGCTACCACCTGCCATCCACAGCTCTCAAGCACCAACGCAGAGTGCTACCACCTGCCATCCACAGGGGCTGCGTCTCCTCTGTCCCCATCCTCCCTCTCCTCATCAGCCCTGGCCCTGACCCTCTGCAGTGGTGTCCTTTAGCACCAGTGGTCTCCACCCTGGACAGGGTCCTCTGTCAGATGCAAGCTCCCCACTTCTGAGCACCCTCAGATACACACGTGGTCCTCGCTGGCTTCACTCACAGGCTTAGCCACCCAGCCCTCCCTTGTACCTCCCTGCCCAGCCCTGTCTTGTACCATGGTGTGCAATGATGCTGTCTGCCCCTTACCTTCCCCACGCCGAGCTTCGAGTGCCCAGAGGTGTCATCCCAGCACCTTCCGGCCACTCAGTCAGGGTTTGGGGGAGGGAGCAGTGGGCAGTGAAGACACTTGTGGACTCTCTTGGTCCCTGTTCAGCCCCAACAGCCACCCCCCACACAGCCAAGAATGTCCGCAGTACTTAGTCTCGTCAGCTACTCCAGACACATCTGATTGTTCCCCAGTTGTCCACCCTTCTCCAGTCGTGAAAGAGGACTTCCCCTGAGTAAGGCTCCTGAACTCCCCTCTGCTCTGCCTACTGTCCTCTTGTGTCCTCCTCCCACTGTCCGACAGCTCCTGTTTCCAAGGACAATAAAGGAACACCAGTAGCAACTTCTTGACAACCACAAACTACCAAAACCTAGCTAAAATGAAATTAATTAATCTGAATTTTATTGTAACTATTAAAGAAATTCAATTAGCAACTTGAAAGTTTCTGAAAAAGAAATCCTCAGGCCCAGATGGCTTCCCTGTGAATTTTACTAAACATCTAAGCAAGTATTGACATCTGTTTTATACAACCTCTTCCAAAAATCAGAAGAGGCACACTTACCATTTCATTCTGTGAATTCACTAAGCATGAATGCTGATGCCAAAACAAGACAAAGAAAGTAAAAAAGCAAAACAAACAAAACTACAGGTCAATATCTCTCATAGATTTAAATGCAAAACTTTTCCACACAGTATTAGTAAACCAAACCCAAAAATATATAGAGTTATATACTGCATGTGAGCAAATCAGTGTATTCCATCATATTAAGCTGAAGAACAAAAAAAATAGGATCATATTAATTGATGCAGACAAAGCATTTAACAAATTCAATACCAATTCATGATAAAAAAAAACTCTAAGAAAGTTATAAATAGTTGGGAACAGCCCCAGTTTGATGAACATCTGTATTAAAAAAAAAAAAAAAAGCCAGGTGCAGAATTAATGCTTTTCTCCTGGGACCAAGAACAACTTATTAATATTGAGTATTAAAGTTGCAACCACTTCTGCCTCCTGCCTCACAAGTGCAAGGAGCCGTGGTCGATCCCTCTACAAA